CTGTCAGTCCAGATGTTGCTCCTTGATGGTTACATCTGCCCACCCTTTCCCAGCAGGCTGGATATTTTGTTTGATGATTTACTATGATGCATCTCAGTGTAAATTGTGTTTTTTTTTTTTTTTTTTTTTTTATCCCAGTTGGGGTTTATAGGAGGGCTTTTTCAATTCATGACTTGATAACTTTCTTGAGTTTTTAGAAAAGTTCTTAGCTGTTTATTTTAAAGATCCCATGCTCCTATACTTTTGAGATTCCAACTGTACTTTGATCAGAAATTCTCATGTACCCTTTTTGTATTTCACCCCTTAGTCTCTGTTTTCTGTCCTTGACTCTGCTTCACACCCCCCAATTTCTTTTACTGTGTGTATTCTCTTCTTAGACATGTCTAATCTGCTCTTAAATCCATCCAATGAACTACGTTTAAGTTCTTATTATAGTATTTCCAACTTAAAAAAATCTCCAATTCTCTGCTGAAATTCTTGGTAATATAGCTGTTTAAAATGCAGTGACTGGGCTGGGGATGTGGCTCAAGCGGTAGAGCGCTTGCCTGGCATGCGTGCGGCCCGGGTTCGATCCTCAGCACCACATACAAACAAAGATGTTGTGTCCGCTGGAAACTAAAAATAAATATTAAAAATTCTAATAAAAAATGCAGTGACTAACATATCTAGAGCCTTTCTGGATATTTGTGTCCCCCCTCTAATGGTTTATATTCAAGTGATTCATATTGTTTGGTCATCCATACTTGAACCTTCTGACTGTACTTTGGAGATGTAATTCAAGAACTTGGGGCCTGGGGTTATAGCTCAGTTGGCAGAGCACTTAGCTAGCATGTGTGAAGCACTCATTGGGTTCAATCCTCAGCACCACATAAAAATAAAACAAAGGTATTATGTTCATCTACTATAAAAATGTTAAAAAAAAGAACTTGGGTTATGTTCACTTTTTWAAAAAATTTATTTATGGTATCCATGACAGCAGAATGCATTTTGATTCATTGTATACAATTACAGCACAACTTTTTCAGTACTCGGGTTGTACACGATATAGTGTTGTACCATATGTGCAGTCATACGTGTACTTAGGGTAGTGATGTCCATCTTACTCCACCATCTTTCTCGCCCCCATGCCCCCTCTCTTCCCCATCCCTCCTCCCCCTTTGCCCAATCAGAGTTCTTCTACTTTTCCCATGCCCCCTCCCGCCATTATGGATCAGCATCCACTTATCAGAGAGAACATTCGGCCTTTGGTTTTTTGGGATTGGCTTACTTCCCTTAGCATGATATTCTCCAACTCCATCCATTTACCTGAAAATTGCCATRATTTTATTCTCTTTTAATGCTAAGTAATGGTCCATTGTGTATATATAGCTAAGTTTCTTTACCCATTCATCTATTGAAGGACATCTAGGTTCGTTCCTCCGTTTAGCTATTGTGAATTGAGCTGCTATTAACATTGATGTGGCTGTGTTACTATAGTATGCTGTTTTTAAGTCCTTTGGGTATAGACCAAGGGGTGGGATAGCTGGGTCAAAACTTTCATTCCAAGTTTTCTAAGGAATCTCCATACTGATTTCCAGATTGGTTGTATCAATTTGCAGTCTCACTAGCAATGTATGAGTGTGCCTTTTCCCCCACATGCTTGACAACACTTATTGTTGTTTGTATTCTGCCATTCTGATGGATGTGAAATGAAATCTTATAGTTATCTGCATTTCTCTAAGTACTAGAGGTGTTGAACATTTCTTCATATATTTGTTGATCGATTGTGTATCTTCTTCTGAGAAGTGTCTGTTCAGCTCCTTAGCCCATTTATTAATTGGGTTGTTTGCTTTGTTGTTGTTAAGCTTTTTGAGTTCTTTATATATCCTGGAGATCAGTGCTCTGACATGCATGTGGCAAAAATTTGCTCCCCAAATGTAGGCTCTCTCTTCACCTCACTGATTGTTTCTTTTGCTGAGAAGAAGCCTTTTAGTTTGAATCCATTCCATTTATTGATTCTTGATTTTATTTCTTGTGTTCTAGGAGTCTTATTAAGGAACTGGGGCCTAATCTGACATCATGAAGATTCGGGCCTCCTTTTTCTTCTATTATGTGCAGGGTCTCTGGTCTAATCCCTAGGTCCTTGATCCACTTTTGTGCATGGTGAGAGACGGGTTTAGTTTCATTTTGCTGCATATGGGTTTTCAGTTTTCCCAGCAATATTTGTTGGGTTATGTTCACTTTCTTCAGAGAGAATTTACATGTGCTTTGGGAAGGTACCAGAGGTTACTCGTGATCTAGTTTCACTTTAATTTACATTCAGATCCTGAGGTGGTTTAAAAAAAGAAAAAAAAATGCATTGTTTGCTGTGGATGGTGAGCTTTAGTATCCAGGTTTATTCTAGACAAAGTAATAGAGGTAATCTAAACCCTCCAGCTGAGGAAAGCTTCAAAATCTGGTCAAAATTCAAACAAACAAACCAAAATAAAACCATACAAATTTGTTGGGAGGCATCCAGAAGGGTGGTGAAAGTTCACCTCTTTAGCTGTGTGGGGCTGTGTCATAGTTTTAACATTTGTCCTCTCCCAAACTGGTGTTTAACTGCCACTGTAACAGCATGAAGAGGTGGGCACTTTAAGAGGACAGTGGGCCCTAAAGGATCTGCCCTCTCAGGAAGGATTTTTGGAGTGGTCCCCCTCTCCCTGCCCTTTTGCATTGGGATAAAACAGCAAGAAGGCCCCACCAGATGCTGTCACCTTGATATTGGACCTCCCAGACTCCAAATTGTAATATATATATATATATATATATATATTTTTTTTTTTTTAACAAATCGCTCACTGTGTGCTACTCACACCACAGAACACACTAAGGCTGCTTTTCTTCTGGGCTTTGCTAGNCCTTGTGAAATCAAGTGGTGGTTGGAGCATTGACCAAGTGGTGGGGTTGCTGATGAGTCTCCCTTGCTCTGCTTTGGGACCCTGACTACCCTAATATATATATATATATATATTTTTTTTTTTTTTTTTAACAAATCGCTCACTGTGTGCTACTCACACCACAGAACACACTAAGGCTGCTTTTCTTCTGGGCTTTGCTAGGCCCACAGTAGCTGACATTTGCCTTGTGAAATCAAGTGGTGGTTGGAGCATTGACCAAGTGGTGGGGTTGCTGATGAGTCTCCCTTGCTCTGCTTTGGGACCCTGACTACCCTAATGATTAAATTTTGTGCTTTAATAGAATTCTTTAAAAAAAGAAAAAAAAATGCATTGTTCACTGTGCATTGTGTGCTCAGTTTTTCCTACTGACAGAAAGCTTAGTTCATCAGAGAACAGAACCCTGACCTCCTTGACTCCAGGAGATCATGGATACTGGAGGAGCCCTGAATTTGTCTTTGGAAGGCCCAAGGATCAGTCCCTGATATCAAGTGGCAACTACTGAAATAGCAGGCAAAGTACCAAGAGGGAACCAAGAGACCTGCAGGGTTGACTTCATGAACGAGCCTGGGAAGCCTCAGCCAGAGCACCTGAGTCTAATTCATGGCCTGCCACACAGAGCAAGGAGCTCAGTTATGCAGGCTCCATACCTGGTGCAAACCCTGGCTCTTCTGAGTCTCAAGGATGGCATGGTGCCTAAATAATGATATATTAGGAGGGTACGGTGGCGCATGCGTCTATTCACAGCAGCTGGGAGGCTGAGGCGGGAAGATCACGAGTTCAAAGCCAGTTTCAGCAACTCAGTGAGACCCTGTCTCTAAATAAAATATAAAATAGGGCTGGGGATGTGGCTCAGTGGCCGAGTGCCTCTCCATTCATTTCCTGGCACCGCCCCCAAATCAAGAATGAAATATTAAGAAACTCAGCACCTAAGAGCCCACTTCCACTGAATGCCTCTTTTGGAGACATACCTTAATCTGTGCTAGTGAGAGGGGCGAACACTGTCTGAGGCTGCTCCTATGTTCTCTTCTCTTTACATCTTCCACTTTTCCATCTCTGCCTTTCCCTCCAGAGAGAAGTATGTGAGCAGTGTGCCTCCTATGCTGCCATTCCAGGGTCCTGTTTTCTTTACTTTCTGGTCTTTGCCCTCTTTGGTGTGCCCCGCTTAAGGTCCTGTTCAAGGTTGTTCCTCCACCCTATGACACCAGCCCCAAAAGGTGGTGGTGGGGACCAGAGTTAGAATTCTGATGCTTTGTGCAAAGTGCCTGAACTCTTGATAGAGAAGGTGGAATTGAAAGGGGGCACATTGTTTTAGAAATAAATACGTGGCAGAATCCTTTGTTGATACAATGACGAGATGCAAGAATGGCTTCATGCCTCAGATAAAGCCACCTTGTCTATTCTGTTAATTTCCATCTGAACTCTTGTGTTGCTGCATTTTACACATTTTTACTTTGGGGGAAATGAAAAGATTTCTAAGCAAATTAATACTCAAAATGAATTCAAGCAGGGCTGGGGATGTGGCTCAGTGGCAGAGCACTTGCCTAGCATGCTCAAGGTCCAGGTTCAATCCCAGCACAGGCAAAAAAAAAAAAAAAAAAAAAAAAAAAACAAGCATAATTCAAGCATAGCACTTAAATTTATTGCCATGTGATAAATCTTTCACAAAAATAAGAAAAGAACTCTGGGTGGCTTTGCAAAGCTGAGGCAGTGATGTGGGTAGAGGCCTTGATGCTGGGGGCTCAGGTGGTGGAGGCTGCTGCCCCAGGGGAGCTAGGCCTCAGCACTTGTGCTGTGTAGCAGGCTGGAGAGGAGGAGAGGGAGGCACGTCTGAAGCCAGGGCTCAGGTGAACTCAGGGAGCCTAGAGGCCTGAGGAAGTGACCCTCAGTTTCTTGTCAAGGCTTCCGTGGCAGTTTCCTCTTATCAAGATGTCTGGGCTCTTGGGGACCACATTCCCCCCTGCTCCCCACCACATGGATTGACAGTCCTGTATCAGTCCTGTGTCATGGCTGTTCCATGGCACTGCCCAGCCTTCAGACTCAGAGGACAATTCTGTGGTCTTAACAGACATTAGCGGCTTCACATAACACTTAAAAACCTTTTTATTTTTTGATGCTGTTTGTTCAAAGGAAAAGAAAGCAAATTAGAATTGGAAACAAATTAAAGCTGTAAGTCATTTCCCACATAGGAAATAGGCATAATGCTACCTCAAATGACAACCAAGTCATTCCACCTTCAGGTCACCTGCACCCCAAAGCTGGACTGAGGAGAAGGTGTGAGCCACAGCACCAGCCAGAGATCCCACACAGACCACAGGATGGGAGTCCATGGCCATTTTTGGGGACAGAGGGGCCTGACAACACAAGTGCTGAGAGGGAGGCGGGCCCAGTCACGTGAAGCAGCTGAGTCCCTGCGAGGATCTCTGGGAGGGCCAGGAGCCAGCCCCTGGGATGCATTTGCTTCCTGTGCCCACCTCTCCAGACCCTTCGTCATCTGGCCTCAGGGGCTTCCACTTCACCCTGTCCAAATGAGGGTAAGGGAACGCTCCTAAGCCAAAAGCCAATAAAGACGGCCCGGCCCTGGCTTTTCACAGGTGGAAATCACACAGAGGTACACTGAAGTGCTGGCATGGTTTTAACCTTTACATCAGGTATGGTGTCGGAGGATGTGACAGACCAAAATGACTAGATTCCCAGTCCCAGGGGTGCGGAGACAGGCAGAGACACTGGTCCTGAAGAACTGCAGKGGTGACTGCCGGCTGAAGCAGCTGCCCAGCCTCATCTGGGTCATGCGCTTCCCATTAGGAAACCTGCAGATGCTTTTTCACATTCCTGACAGTGAAACTAGGCTCCTTGTCTCTACTGGGCAGGGACTGGCCAGGGACAGTGTGTGGCTTGAAAGGACAGTCCTATGGTCCTCATACCACGATTCTGCTCAACACAGCTCAGTGGCATGTTCCTCAGAGAAGCCCCTTCCTCTAGCTCAGGGGCCAAACCCACAGTTTTCATGGCCCCAAAGCATTTTTAAAGTATTAGAAACAAAGAGAAAATCATGTTTTTCATTTTCGCCTGGATTATAGCATTAATAAATGAGTCTCCTTTTGCTTTGACTAGCCTGGTTGAAGGAAAACAACTGCTTTCAAAATTAAGCTTTTCTTTTCCCGGTGATGAATACAGAGCAGATTCACTTAACCTGTGTGACGCTCTAGTTGAACTCCAGCTGTAGTTCAGAGGCCAACTCTCCCCAAAGGAGCCTTTTTCTTTCTTTGAGGGAAAGACAAAGAGCCTTGAAAGGCTAGTGCTGCACTGCCCAGGCCAGTGTTTAGGACACTGTGGACTGCTGAGAGGTGTGCACATGCGAGCGCGCGCGCGCGCGCACACACACACACACACACACACACACAGGCATGTGTGCCTACATGGCCAAAACAAAGTCTTAAATGTGCTAACAACAACAACAAAAAAAAAAATAGTGTGTACTGCTGTGTTTATTATGTGCCTAGGGCATCAGGATCCTGGGAAGCTCTAGATTTTTGGTTTAGAAATAAAACTGCATGTTGACTAGCAGGTTTTCATGTTTATTATTGTTGTGTGCCCCCAACCCCTTGCACTACAATCTAAGCTGAATGATCTATTGCCAACTGGCATCAATTCTCCAAATCTAAGTGTGCGAGGGAAACACGTTCGTGATCCTCTCTGATAGAAGACACACTGGGCATTCTGTCTGCCTCTGTTCCCCAGAAATAAAATAACTAGCAGGGCTGTTTGGCTGGGGTGGTGGGAGGTGCGTCCTGCCTCAGTCAGAATCCATTGTGAACAGCTGGACGTCCTGTGGGTTCCAGTACAGGCCCACTGCTGAGTTGTAGACCAGAGACCACACGTAGGGGATGAAAAACTCCTCGGGCTGCTCCTCTTCCACGTATTTGAATTTCAATTCTGGAAATTTCTGCAACAAAAACAAGATGATTTTTATCATCTCCCAGTTCCATGCACAGGCAAGAGCAGCAGGAGTTTGTAAGTGGTGTGGTGAATGGAGAATCCCCTCCCCTAGTYGGTCACAGGCTAGAAGCACCAGGCTTTTAAGACATTTGCTGTACCATGGATCCTCAGGAAATGTAAATAACTTGTGGCACGAGTGACCCCACAGTGAGTTCTGGTCAGTTAATGTCAGTCTGGCTGACAGTTTGCTGAGGAGGGACCCAAACAGTGCATATGACTAAGATGAGACTTATCACAGCTGAGCAAGAGCCCCTCCTTTGGGCTGGACAATGTTCAGGCAAACATCCTCTGGTGTATGAGGCTGGGACCTCATCTGCAGTGTTGAGTCATTCTGGAGATGAGGACCCTCCCTCACGAATCCTGGGCCTTGAACTAAAGAGGGAGACGCTGGCCACAGTACTGGAGTGGGCAGCTTTCCCCACAGCCTTAGCTTTGAAGAGGGGAGCTCAAGGTCACTCTTCAAAGCCTTGCAGGTGCCCTGGGCCTGCACTCCTCAGTCCTGTCCCACAGGGGAGAAGGTGAGCCGCTTAGCAGCCTACAGTGGCACTTACATTATAGCAGGATTTGGGCTGTAAAAATTTTCTAATTTGGGGGCTGGGGTTGTGGCTCAGCGGTAGAGAGCTGGCCTAATGCGTGCGAGGTGCTGCATTTGATCCTCAGCACCACATAAAAATAAATAAGTAAAATAAAGGTATTGTGTCCAACTACGACTAAAAAATATTAAAAAWTTTTTTTTCCTAATTTTATTCCTGACCTATATATGTAATCCAGCTTGGACACAGAATGATTCTCCTAGCAGCCTGAGGAGCAGCTGGGACCTACTAAAGCCTTTGGTGCCAGGGCAGCTGTCAGGAGAGACTGCAGTTTGGCGATCCCAGTCACAAGTGGGTGGGAGATGAGGGGCAAGCCCAAGGTCCTAGGAGGTGGGGGTGGTGGTGGAAGGCTGAGGAGGAGCGCTGAGAAAGCAAAACCACACATCACAGCCACGACCCCATTACATAGAAGGCCTGGCCCATGAGATTTTCATGCTTTGTTAGTGGCTGCATGCCCACAGATAGTGGCCAGACACTTGAAAAAGTGACAAATGAACGAGTCACTGAAAGGAGGCAGATCTGAAGAACTGCTTGYCTCTGTCTCAGAGTTTGGTGCAACCAGGAGGCAACAGGCCCTGAGTCAGGTTTATAGCTGTAAGTGATGTGGAGAAGATGGTCAATCCTACTATGTACTTGACATTAGGACCGTGACCCAGAGGTTCACAATCTTCCCATTATGTAGTACATTCAGCAACAGCCGAGGAGGAGCTGGGGTTGTGGCAGCTCGCCCTCTGAGCTATATGGGGCTGGAGGATATGGTGGCTGCAGTTGACCAGAGATGACACAGAGCCTTGTGCTTGAAGTTCATAGAGAAAACCTAGTAGAGAGCTCAGGGAAGTGACATTTGACTGGAGCCACCTATGTGACATGCCTGGCACATCCTGTTTCACTAGTGGCCACCTTATTAAAAAGAAAGTGGGACCTTACAGGCCATTGCCTTACTGTGTTCACAGCACTTAGCACAATGGGTGCTTATTTCCCATTAGTTTACTTGTGGACTGCGTTTCCCCCAGGAGAATGCAGGTTCTAGGAAGATGGCCACCACACGAGCACCTGCCATACTAATGACATGAAGTGTTTGCTGAACTGAATGAATGAATGACTTCACATTTGCACATGACAAGTATGATTAACCCTGATGYAGAGAAAGGAAAAGTGAGGCTCAACCAGGGTAAGCAACATGCCGGAGGCCACAGCCAGAAGTGGTGGAGGCAGAGGTAAAGGAAAGTCACACCTTCCACCTGCAGCGTCCCAGTCACCAGGGACCCATGTGCTCTTGTTGAGAACATGGACAGGTTTCCAAGTTTTCCAACAAATGATGAGGAGCTTTAATGTCCCCCCCATCAATAGTACTTAACCTTTGTGCACAAGTGTGAGTGCCCACATTGTCAAACAAAGGGACTGCTCTGTTGGAGCCMCAGGCTCTGGAGGCCCGGGCTCTGCCCTGACAGCTACCGCTAGGCTGGGCAATTTGGGGCAAGTCATAGCATTTTGCTAGAATGCCATTTTCTTACCGTGTGTAAAGTGAAGGCCTCTGAGCTTCTTCCAGTTCTGACAGGGTGTGGCTTTATGAGATGACCCCAGTAAGGTCTAAACATTTCTTATCCCCTGTCTGCCTCTGGGCTCTGCTGGGCTGGTCCCGAGAAAAGCCTGAATGGGTGGGGCCTAGGCTCAGCTGAGGTCAAGCAACCCTGAGGTCCAGTGGTTGCTGATTTCTGCTTAGACAGCTTTCACAGCAGGGAGTGAGTGTTCCTGAGCTGTCCTAGGTATAGACTATAGATGGCTTGAAAGGTCAAGGCTCTCAACTGCTTAAAACAGCATGAAGTTGCTGTTGAGAAGCTCTGTGGCCTAGAGAGCTTACAGGTAAGCAGGCTGGGCTCCAAGCCTCAGCCCCCAGAGATGGGATCTTCGGAGCATCTGGTATATTATTGACATATGTCAATACTGTTCTGCTAGTTAAGGTCTGACGCTTTCCACAGAAAGGTTCCCAAATTGCTCTCTTCCACATGTGTGCCACTGGTAGAAAATCGCTTGGACACCTAGACAGCTCATGCTTACATCCCTGAGTCCACAGCGCCAGCTCTCTATGTCTCAGAGTAAACAACTGAGCTCTGAGCTAGTATTTCTTGGGTTGTTTGCTTGAAACTTTTTACTAGCACTTGAACAGTTCAGAAAGGAGAATCACGCACAAAAGCAAGAAAAACAAGGGCCTGTTCACTGCGTACGCTAAGCTAACACCTGAAAACACAAGGCAAAGAGCTTCCTCTACTGAAATGAATTGTTTACAAGACCAGTGTCCTGGGAGCACTCTGCAAGGGTGAAAAGTCGGCATAAATCGTAAGAGTTTCCACAGTGCCTTTCAGCCAACCTGATGAATGTGACGAGGCTGCTGATAGGCTGGGTCCAAGCTGCATTTAATTGAACCCCTTCCCCAAATGGCCTGTCAGTCTTGCAGCTGCAGGGAGACTGAAACAGACAGCCTTCAACCATGTGCTTCTCTGAGATGTCTTAGAAGTCTGAAGGCCAAGGAAAAGAAAGACAAAAGGTTTTATTTAGCACTAAGAACACCGGGGACACATTTGTTGGGACCCAGTCCAAGAAATGTCATGTCTGAAAGTCAAATCAGCAACCCAGAAAAAGTCGACTTTCCTTTTTGTTTCTTTGCAAGCCTGGGGAGAACAATAATGCCATCCTGTGGGGCTGAGGAGGCCCAGCTTCCTTACTCCACAGTGCCTTTGTCTCTGATCCACCAGCAATACACTCGATAGTGCAGACCCTGGGTGAGGGCCATGTGGGGACTGTTAGGCCCTCCCTGCTCTGACATGCATCCAGTGCTTCTCTCCCAATCTTCCCTCCTGGACTTCTCAGGACCCCTGTGGACTCTAGGGCTGCAGGGTGCTGCTCTGGGAAGGCAGAGGAGGTGCGAGGGCAGGAGGGGCCTTGGTTTGCCAGTTAAGGCAAGAGCTAGTGCTAGAACTGGCCAGCACAAGGCAGGATGCTGGTAATGTCAGTCCAGGCTAACCTGGGAGAGCCCTTGGCATCCATTCCTCTCTGAGGTCCTTATCCTGTGACTCAGCCCAACAAGGAGAGAAAACCCATCTCTGAAGCTTGGAGTTTGGTCTTGATCCAAAGCTACTTACAACAATCCTGTTGTTTTGATTTTTGGAGCCAGAGGTAATGTTAGACTCTCAGTGTGGCCGGAACGTTTTTATCAGCTCCAGTGAATCAACCTACCACAGTGGGACATCCGGACGCCCAGTTCAGACAAAGCAGAGGTCTGATTCAGTGGCGGAGACTTGGATCTAACAAGTAGACCAAGAGTCGCACAGCCCGACTCTGCTGTCAGTTATGCGATCTGATGAAAACCCACAGGAAGTTCAGTGAGCAGATGTAGGGCACAACTGTCATAATTATATTACCACAAAAGTTCAGTGGAGATTTCCAGCTTCCACGTAAAGGTTATTCAGATAGCATCAGAAACTCTAGCGAGCACCTGGCATGGCTCCAAGGAAGCTTAATACAATTTTAAATCAAACAACTACACAGCACATTAAAAAACTTAAGCCTGGATTAAGCCTCTGAACAGACAAGTGGACGGGTGACCACTGGCAATGAGGTGGCCTGGGATCTGCTGGCAGCTGGTGTGCCCTGATGGATGGGCCAAGCCACTGTCCACAGCACAGGCAGGGTTTGTGGTGGATGGTCCTGTCAGTCCTCTCCACAGATTACTGTCATGTGACTTTGGTCCTTCCTTCAACTAAAAGTAGGTGAGCGTCATGATACAGTGGTACTGCATTTGGGGCTACAGAGGAAGGAAAGGAGTGACACTCTGCTCCAATGGTGTCATTTAGATTTAGGAAGAGGAACAGGAACAAGCAGGAAGGGTGTCTTGAGATGGGGAAAGGGGGTGGACTCCCAGGTAGCTCTGGCTAACATGGGGCCAGGTTTGGATAGCAAACTGGGGGAAAGAATGAACTGAACAATCAGGAAACATCTATGACATCCACTCAGTGGAATTACTGGTTGAGCAAGACTATAGGGAAGATTCTGCCACGTGCAACAGAACAAGTTACAGTGTATCAAATACTGTAAGCCCTGGCAAAAAGAAGAGTGGGTTGGTCAATGAATAACAGCACTGAACGTGTAGTATTCTACTTTATATGAATTTATTTATTTATTCTCTTGACGGGGTCTAGTTTTGCCYAGGCTGGCCTTGAATAATCCTCCTGCCTCAGCCTCCTAAGCAGCATACCACCATATCTGGCTATGAATTCTTTAAAAAAGAGTCCAGAAGTAAATTCAAAATATAGAAAATCATGAAGGGCCACTTCTTGGAAGTTATAAATTAAGAAAG